GCCGGCCAAGAGCCTCCGTGTGCCCTACAAAGCGCCCGGCTTTAGATTCTTGGGCAGACGTCCGCAAGACCCAGATTTCCTGGCAGCAGCTCTTCCCGATCCTGCCACCCTTGTTGGAATTTGGCCCTGCTGCTTCCCTTCTCGATGTCGAATCCAGCGGGACTGGACCAACACCGCCCTCCCCCTCAGCTGGCCTTCCTGCCCGCCTGGACTTTACAGAGTTGTGCCACTCGGGGCCCCGCACAGCGCGCCCTCGCCCAGCCCAGCCCGCGATGGGCCCTCTTTCCAAAGAGCAATTTCGCGCCTCAGTGGAAGGTCGCGCCCAGAGCCGAACTCGGCGGGATGGAAAAGCAGCCTCGTTGACCCCGCCGATCGGGTCCCGGCTGGGTGTCGGACGCGCGTTCCGGCCAGCCCTAGCTTTTCCCCTTTTTCCGGACCTGGGAGGAAGTCCCTCTGAACGAAGCAGGGCTTGCTCTGAGTAAGAAAGGAGTGGGTTGTAAAGGCTGCAGTCTTCCACCCATTTACCTGGGAGTCGGCCCTCGGAAACTCCACCACACTTCCTTCTCAGTCAGCATGTCCTGGAATGTGTTACAACCTTCCCCCTGAAATAATGGGATTTAATTGTGGCTGGACCGTGTTTGTGTTCATCCACATCACTGAATATAGTCATTGCTGTAGCTTTTATAATGATAAAAGAGTCTCGGGATATACTCACAATTCCTAGGATGCCCCTGCCCTAGTTAGTCTTATGCTGCTGTTTTATTAACTAGAATAAGCAGGCAACCTAATGCCATGGCGTCCTCAGTCACAGCCTCTGCTTCCTTCTGGAGAAGCAAAGCGATTGGGAAGTGCGCATCTCCGAGCTGAATGCAGAGCGAACAGATAAACTCTTATAAATGTCTGCCTGGAGGAAGTTCAGTGGGTCGTACTTCCAGCTGAACGCACAATTCTTTCCTTACCTCGGAGTAGGCCACATTTAACGCAGTTGGGCTTACTTCCGAGGAGACATGCCTCTGTTTTTGATGAAAAAGATCCGAGTTCCAATCCCACATCTGCCAGAAACAACCGGTTTACTGGGGGGGGGGGGGGATTCCTTTTTTGGAGTGTTATCTGCAATACGGGATTGATAATACTGTCCTGTCTTACAAGGTGGTTTTACAGCTTGCACAAAGATGCCAGGCAAAGCTTTCCTTGAATATCCAAATAGAATAATTCCCTCAAGCATTCAAAAACACCGTCATTAATTCCTGTTGTTAATATTGTTGTTGTTCAATTCAACGCATTCATTCTGAACATTAACTTCTGCTGAGGCAAAATAAACTTTTACTACTAAGATCAAGTCAACTTAAGTTAGAGGATAAGCAAAAGTAAGGCTTAAAAGAGGCCCCCTGATGGAAGGAAATAAATAGATTTGCAAGAAGTTCATGGAGGGAGAAAATACACGGAATATCCTCTACCTCCTTTGTTCACTGAGCGTCTGCCGATTTGGTTGTTTATTTTGCCTCCTAATCCAGCGTAAACGGATGCTAAATTTAAAACTAAAAATAAATGCCGGGGAAACCAAAGGGACGCATCGTGCTGCACTGGACTCAAGATGCAATCAGAAACTCGCTTCCTAGGTGTCGGCTGAGGGAGCTGCAGCCCTCCAGATTTTGTCGGATTTCAATTCCCATCGGCCGCAAACAACCAGACTAACGGCGAGGCACGATGGGAGCATCGGCCGGGCCACTTCTGCCGGCCCATCTACTGGGAACTAAGCTCAGCAGGGCTGACTGCTGACTGGGTCCTTCCTCCCCCGAGAAGTGTACACTTACGCTCTCTTTCTTGAGACAGGCGCTTTATATAGGATATTCCACCTACGCTAAATCTGACTCAGGGGCCTCCAAGACCCCTTTTATGTTACCCAGACTGTTAAAAAAGACGGTGCCACAAGATTCGGGGCTGGGGGGCTGATACGGATTAACAGGGGTCGTCCACTAAAAGTGATCCGTAAACTTGCAGGGTGGCGTCTTCCAGGGAAATTGTGCACTGTGGTTCCTCCCCCTCCCCAACCAAGTAAACAGAAAAGCACGTGTGAATGGGCCTTTAGAAATGCTCAGGAATAGGCCTAGGAATACCGCAGCCGGCGGAGGGTGGGGGGCTGCTGGCCTCCAGGAATCTTGAGACATGCACGCTCTCCCTTTCCTCCCTCCCCCCCGGCCTCAGTCAGGCAGAGTGGGTGTAGCGATCCTTGGTAAGTAGGGAGAGTCTCCCGCTCGCCACTGTCACCCACCTGAATTGTAGCTGACGAGATCGACGCCCAGCGCGGGGCTTTTCCTCTTCCTGGGCCGGCCTTTCTGGACGGTGCCCGTGCCGTTGAAGTAAGGCAATGCCAGGCCGCCGCCCTTGGCCGCCAGCTCGGTGTAGCTCAGCTGCGGGGGTGGGTAGGAGGCGGGATCGGTGCCCTGGAGGAGGCTCTCGAAGTGCGCCCGGCAGTAGACCACGTTGTCCTTCATGCCGAAGTGGTCGCCCGTCGTCAGGGTCTTGTTGCACGTGGTGCAGGTGAAGCAGCTCAGGTGGTAAACCGAGTCCCGGGCCCGCATCACCATCTCCGAGGCCGAGATGCCCAGGTGGCAGCGGGCACAGCGCTGCACGGAGAACCTTCTGAAGGGAAGAGGGCACCCAGTTAGCAGGGTCCAGCCCAAGGGAGGCATGCGGGCCCATTCAGACGACCACCCGAAAGCTCAAGGCAACGGGGGACAAAGGGTTATCTTTGAGTCAGCCTGCAAAGAGACCGAAGACGCGCCGGTCGCAGGGCTCAGAAAGGGTCGTCTGAATGGGCTCACTCTGGCGCACCAAGGCAAAGGACGGCCTCAGAGTGTGGCAAAGGGAAATTAGGCGAAACGGGTCAAAACTAGACAAAGAGAGATTCGCGCGCGGGGGGGGGGGTTAATCAACTGTCAACATAATGCGTTGAAAGGTGTCCTTGTTTCGGAGTGGTCAGAATTTGGAAGAAGCTGGGACGTGAATGGCCCTCGGGACTCAAGCAGAGAAAAAGCCGAGGACTCGGTCGCCCCACGGGCCCAAGCGAACAGCGTGCAGCCCCTTAACCCATTTGTCCGGGATAAGATGCCATTAATCTCAGCGGGGGCCGCTTCTGAGTCGAGGCCACTGTAGGGTTGCACTGATTGGCTGCGATGCTAGGGAGTCTTTCCCGCGAGGAGCCCCTGTAGAGCCCCGAGGGACTCGGGTGCAACCATGCAGAGGATACAGGGCTCTGGCCCCATTCGTTGCCTTTGAGGAAAATCCTTTTGAAATTATTGGACTTAATACTAATCTTTGGAAGGATCGTGCCCCAAAGGACCACACCAAAAAAAAAAAAAATCCATTTAGATTGCACTCCACACACTTCTCTGGGCGCAAACTCTACTGAAAACAAAGTGGCATTTAAAAAAAAAAGTCGTGCATAAGATTGCCGGTTAAGGTATACCTACCCCACCCCAATTATTTTTTTAAAAAAGTACAAGTGTTTAATTGAATAAATCTTACTGGATTTAATGGCATGACTCTTATCAGTGATATATACATGTATTTCAAAGGAATCAGCTTTTCCCCAGATGCTGGAAGAAGCATTCTGTGCTTTAGAGGATGCCCCTCGTGTGGTTCCAGATCCCACCTCCCCATTTTAGAAGGAAGATCGCCTTCCCTGTGTAGGTGGGGGGTGGGTACTTAAAAGTGCCTGTTAGCCAGTACTGGTGGTGGTGTTTTTTTTTTAAAGGCGTGCACAATTGATCAAAATCATACATTGGTCAAAAACAGATTTATTGGACCAATTATAACCATTCAAAACCATCTATAACTGGGCCAATTACTGGCCATACCTCAAAACCGTATTTTCTCAAACCCACATGGACATAGATAGTGGAAATAGTTTTACCCAGTTAATATAACTAATCGATAAAATAAATCTTTTTTAAGGAACCCCGAAACCCATTTTTATTTGCCAGACAACTGTGAGAATCTGAGACAGAGAGCTTCATGCATGTGTGTATAATAACTAGGTTTGTTTTACTTAATTATATCAATTCTAATGATGTAGGCACATGCACACACAGTGAAGCCTGGGGAGTAGTTGGTGTGGTTAGGGTGGCAGCCAAAGCACTCTGCACTTGCTCAGGTGTACTCTTTATGGTGGCTTAAACTGGCTGACTCTACTGCTTTTCCATGGCTACTGGGAGGCAGACATTTTTCTCCTAGGGAAGCGTCTGGCTCATGGAAGATCAGGGGAGATCTCTCCTCCTAGCCCTCCAAATTAAGCATCGACGCCTGAGGCCTGAGCCACTCACTGACGGGGGCCTCCTTTCCCTGGCTCTTGCCTTGGGCTGGCAACTCCGGGGCTACGCTGGGCCTTCATCCGCGGGTGGAGGAGGAAAGCCGGCGAACAGCCAGACCCTAAACATACTCGGTCTGAAATGCGCTTCAGCTGCCATCCGACCTCCTCTCTTTGGGCTACGACCGCTAAACTCAGCGGGGCTGACTTTCCAGCCGACACACAGGGAATTGCGACGTTACTGAAGAGGTCAGTCCCGTTCACACGTTACACACCCTAACACGGTTCTGGCTCCTTCTCCCTGAGGAAAAATCAGGTGGAAATGGGAAATTGAGCCAATTTTCGAGGGCTTTAATGACCATTTGGGGTTTCTTTAAGGAAAGGTAGGAGACGCTTTGTAAATAAGGCTTACGAATCTGAATTTTTGGGTTGGCTTGGGAGTTTCTTTCTTTTCCTTTCTTGTACAGTATTGCAGTTCCCTCGCCCCGAAAAGAGAGGTGAACTAGAGAGAGCTATAAAGAAGTTTAAAAATCCATTCTTTTCTCTTTCCTATTTGTTCTAAGCGTTAAAGTAGCAATTCTATGCATATTATCTGGGACAGAGTGAGACTGCTTTTGAGTCAATACGCCTGATGCTAGACAAATGTCCCTTGCAAGTCGGTTTTTATGACAGTAGGAAATTTTTCCAGGGGAAGCACAGGGTTCGGATGTAAAACTACCTATTAATTCACTGGGAAAGGTCGGGAGGGGAGCCGGCAGAAAAAATCCGGATATGTCTCTTTAACAGGAAGACAAAAAACGAGGCTTGTCTGCCGGCCGCTGAGCGCTAACAAGAGCGGGAGGCCAGGCCGCCCAGCAGGAGGGACCTGATCGGGTTCCACGGAAAGGGACTGGAATTTGGGGGGCGGAGAGGCGGTGTACCCAGCCAGGCAGGCAGGCAGGCGCGGACCCTCGGGGGTGGGGGCGGGGAGACGGAAAGAGAGTTGCCGGTTCCCATACGGAAGTGGCACCACCGTTTCCTCCCAAGCCCTCATTAAGGAGCTGGTTAATCAGACGCGCGAACCCCTCTGCACCTACTAGGGACCTGGAAGCGAGAGCCGCGCCTTCATCCCCAGCTGATTTCCTTCTGAGCCATCCCACACAAGATCGGGCTGCTGGAACTACCAAGAAATGGGTCGGTTTTGTGGGGTGGGATTTGTCTTCATCCTGGGCCGCAGGCCAGGGACGTATCTTGGGCAACTGGACAAGTGACCTACTCCCCAATGTTGCAAGTGTCTGCGAGTGGCCTGAATTTTTTTTCAAGCCCGCCAGGAAAAAGAAAACGGAGGAACAGACAGAATCCTCCAGTGGCTTATGCCTGACGGTAAAACCTTCGGCGCCCTCCCTAGCAGGCAGTAACGGGCTCACCGGGAGAGCAAAAGAAGAAAAATCTATTTGGCCACTCACGCAGCCCACCTCCAAGCTTTCTGAACTAATGACTCCCAAGTTTTCACGCAGCCGGAGGCTTTTAAGGATCTTTTCACACGTGCAGGACTCAAAAGCTAATCTGCACGTGTAAGAGATTCCGCGCTGGCCACAAACATTTGCAACCGGGACTTACTGACTCGCACACTGCCCCGTGAAGTCAGCTCACACATTTTGGCGGCAGACCTTCAAACCTAATTCACACGGGCACCGCTTGACCTGGCTGTGAAATCATGCGAAGACGCCGTCAGCTTTGTTAAAGTCCGGGGTAGTCTCTGTTATCACTCGGGGTTTGTTTCAACAGTCAGTGTGTTGACTGTGATTTTTTTTTCAGCAAAGGCGATTTGTACACAGAGCTCGGAAATATCAAGACCGAATCAAATGTGCATTCACGGATGTGATTTCCCCCCTCTCTATTACTGGCGGCTCCGCTTAAGAACAGGTTGTATGGAGGGAAAACGGCACTTGAGCCGCTACGAAAGGCCCCTTGGGGATCTAATGTCTGTGAGGGGGGTGCAGTTCACGCCTAGGAAGCCACTTCCTTGTTTTCAGTGGTGAGGTGGGAGCCCTAATAACCCCTATGTTTTTTTTTTAAATCACCTTCAAATGACTCGTAATCCAACCTGGAAACTGGACACGCATGCCCCTAGCAATGGAAGGAAGAAAAAGATCAGTGATGCCCGTGTGCGTGTGAACCCTCGCACACTCATCCAAACAGAGAGGATTCCTTCCTCCGAGAAGCTCTCCACCATTCTAGGGAGCTGCAGCAACTTTTCCGGATGGGAAGAAGGGGTGT